AGAAGCAGCTCTTTTTGTCTCCACGGGCTGTTGTTACTTCTTCCCCTTGGATATGGAACTCCTTGAGGTCTCAAATTCTACACACATCACAATCCCCCTCCCATCTATCAATCATCACAAGGCTTGAGACTGAAGTGCAGTTTGGAAAATATTCATTCCCAGAGGAATGTTCTGCAATCTGGTGAGATGTCACCATGGATCTTCTCTTTTTAATTATGTGAACTGAGCACCTATGTGCCAGACAGTAGGCTGAACATTAGAATAAATTACACAGGTCAACAGAGGCCTATGTTTCTAGATTTTATAATCCAGCATAAAGAAACACATGAGTGTAGTACAGAGAATGTAAGGTATGGGAGTGTAGGAATTTTACCTTGAAATGTGTTCTGGCCTTCCATTTCTCTGCATTTTCTACTTTTCCTTCAAACCTTTTGGTTATTCTTCCATAGGAGTTCCTTTTATCTCCATGTCTTGTTGTCATCATTGTTGGTGTTGTTGCTGCTGTTGCTGTTGTTACTGTTGTTAACTGTTCTGGGGAATGAACCAAGATCTTACATGTGCTAGGCAAGTACTGTATCACTGCCACATTCCACCTTCTCTCTCTCTACTTCAGTTGTGTCCCAAGGGTTCTATCACTGTCTTGACTTTCTCAGACTTTGATATCCTTCCTTAAGGATTTCACCCACTCCCAAAGCTTCAGTTGCCACATTTATACAGAATGCTCCTAATCTCGTCTCTACCACAGAAACACCTCTGGAGTTCCTGATGCAGAGTCCGCCCTCTTCTCAGACATCACAGGGTCATGTCTTTTCTAGCCAGCTCAAACTCACCATATCTAAAACCGAACCCCTCAGTTTCATTCTCAGATTTCCCCCTTGTGGAAATTCTACTCTAGTTGTCTTCTTTTAGAAACCCAGGTGTCATCCAAGACCAGTGATGGTGAATATAGTGGTTTTCTTTTAAGATGAATGATGTTAATGTAGAGGTATTTTTTGTGTCTAAAACCTTAATGTTCAGGTTTAATTGCAGTACTGGCACTTTGATGTAAATAAGTGGGTTTTCAGTTGCAGTTTGGGCACTTGGTCTCTGAAAGTTTCACCATCACTGTCCTAGGTCTACCCCACCTTGGTCCTTTCATCCATTCTGTCACCAGATTCTGTCTCTTCAGCCTTATATTAATCTCTTTAATGGGATACTCAGAGCTCTCCAAACCCACTGTCACTTTTGTTCAAGCCTGAATCATTTAACTGATTTCCCTAAGAACCTTCTTCTTCCCTTCTGTCTGTTCACCCTGAAGTCCAAGACATAAAACTAATCTTATTCTCGTTGGAAACAACTCACTGTCTTCTCAGTCTCCTCAAGGATCTAATCGCATTCTTTCACACTTGGCTTTAAGATGACCCTGCCTATCCCTCTGATTTTATCATTTAAGCACATATAATGCATCATCCAAACAATTGCTTTTTCATCTTGGTTCTCAGGGAGGTACACCCACTCCTGCCCATCTTTTGCTTCTGCAATATGGTCCTTGGATACGTACACCAGAAAGTGAGAATCAGAGAAGTTAAGTAAATTGTCTTGAACCACACAACTAAAAAGCAGA